CTGGAGACGTTGTAAGAAATGGCGGGGAATCAATGTCAGTGGCGTTCGTGCTGTCAGTTTCTTCCAGATTGTCTGATTTAGCGCTCGGTGGAACCCCAGAACACTTGACATAGGCTGGTATTAGGTCCACTCTCACCCACTCTTTTTCTCTTTTCACCCTAGGGTTTTGAATATAAATAGACGAACCTTATGGTTGTATGGCACTGAAGCAACCATCAGTGTCAACACTGATGTTGTTGTCTTTGATGATGATGACGAATAAATGCTTTGTCTTCGGGGCAGGGGGTTAGGAACCGCATCCTACTGATGTCATTCCAATGTCCTATTCTTATGTATGTAGTGACCTGATCGGTTCTTCATAGTGCAGCTGATGTGATAAAATCGATAAATTCTGAGTCGTTTTCCTGTGTCTATATGTGAAATAAACTCAGTGTGTCCATAAGTGCCACATTTTTTCGATTTTTTTACCCTTTTCACCTCTTGTACTTCTTTGCTCATCAAAAGGAGCTTGTTTTTCGTTACCAACAGACTGGTGATTCTCCTGGCGGATGGTCTTGTCTTACTGGATGCAGAGTCTTGGATGCTGCTCTGAAGGAAAGGTCAGGTGAATGTCCTCCACAAGGCGGACCTGCAATTCATCGACTTCCTGGGTTGATGGAACAGACAGGTGAATGGCTACCCCCAAAGGGTCAAGCGGCAAACAGAGATTTGGCCGCAGACGAACCCTCCGGAAAATGGTATCCAAGTGTACATTCCCTGATGAACGATGCAGTGGCATCTAGTTGTACGGTCGACGCAGAATGTCCCAACAAGAAAGATAAATGTTGCCACTCCAAATGCAAGCGTGCTGTGTTTCGTGAAGGTATGTCGTACTTTTGGCTAGTTTGGTTTTAAACGGGTAAGCGACGCTTCCAACAACATTTGGTCGATATATTTTGTAACAAGAAGCTGGGGTGGAAACCCCAACCGACCAAAGGTCACAGCATCTCTCTTATACAACTTTCTTATCGCTAGCTCACCCACACAAACTGACAGAAGGTTCAGACGATGTTCAAGAGGAAGCATCAAATGAACCGAACCAGAAGAACTAGACCCTAGGCTGGACCCAAGCACATGTAGGTTTCCCCACCGACCCAACACTTGTTCAATCACTCTAATACACTAAAATCCCTCGGCCGACACCCAACAGGGATTTAGCTTGACTTAACTGATTGGTTCTTAAATCTCGACCTTCCTCGGAACCTAGCCACATGGCCTGACGAAGCTTTTGTGTCAAAAGCGAAACGCTGCCCAGCAATAAATCTACCGATTGTCACCAGACTTTTTCGAAAAACACTGACTCCTACCGCTTCACTGCACACAGGTCCTTCCATACCCTAAGTAATTTGATTATCTGCGCAAAAAGTACCCATCTGTTGAAGTCAGACGGTTCGGCGACGAGTCCACACGGCCGCGCGTAAATAGTAGGTGACTACAGATGGCAGACTCATCGGGCATCGGTGCATTCCATTCCCAGTGTAACCGTGTATACTACTGACGAAAATGTGAGTAGTGTCTGGTGGAGTGTGAAACAGCCGCCGTCACATCTGATGGGAAGTGAAGATGGCTACAGAACTTATGAAACCGCTTTTTAGTGTGTGCTGATTATTGTTTAAGATTCAAAGAACATTCGGTAAGGCTCAGAAAGATGCTTGAGGATATTCAAGTTTCAAAATCTCTGCGCAAATCCCATCAAATTTCATATCCTAGGATTATTAAAACCAAATAAGAAACCTTCTCAAACTGAGAGAAGCTGATAAAATAAACTATAGAGCGTCTTTAACAACCACGAAACAAAACATATCACCAAAAGTTTAGGAGCTAACTTTCCCAGTAACAAGATAGAAGTCTTGGAGAAATACACTTATTTGCAGATCAATTTGGTTTGTAGAGTATCATAAACGGGAGATTCAGTTGAGTCTCTCGTGAAAACCAAATAGATTTGCAAATGAGTGTATTTCTCGAAAACAGTCCAATGTGGGTTCAAGTAGAATATAAGGTTGACGGAAACTCGGGGACTGCGCCTATCTGATGAGCCCCAAGTGGAAGGGCGAAACCGGTCGTGGGCTATCGAAGAGTTTTCAGCAACCTTGTGAGTGCGTGAAAGGAGCGAAGTCTTACTTCAATGCATACATGGTTAGATGAAGAAATTTTCGGTGAAAATGTTAGCCAATTCACCAAGCGACCGATCCAATCTAATCTCATCTTTTGGGTTCCATCAACGAATCGAAACCTCCAATGGCGACGCCATCATGATGTGCTCCGTCGGAGTGTCAGATAAAAATTCGCGACGCAATTGCGGAAATATTGCCCAGGCTAAGAGGTGATTAGAGCAAAAAACATCGTTTTCGAATGCTGCTCATGAGTTTCACTCACATCCTGTTAATTCTCTCCCTAATTTTTTCGAATTTTCACAACGCAGATATACTTCCTTCAATCCCCACCGTTCGAATTTTGGAATCCAAGTCTCCCCCATCATTCGTGCTCTCCTGGGATTCGCTTGACTCGAACACGGTGCGGGCTAATTTGTCCAACCCGACGGTCTATGTGCTACAAGTGAAGACCTATTTTGGTCCAGAATTCGACAGTCGGTTGTCCAATGCGTGGAAAACGCTGGTGATGGTAAGCTAATGCGACTCTCTCTCGATAAATGCGATGGTTGATGTTAAAAGGTTAACTTGGAGCAGAGAAAATGCGAGTGAACCCGAATGGTTCGGTGTTTGAACAATCTTAGGCGTGGACTAGGCAATAAGTGCTTGAGTTCTGTTCACGTGGTTCAAAATCCTCAGCGTGTTTCGACTGGTTTGGACATAAAACCTCATGTTCACATTACTCATGAGGTTGCTGAAAACTCTTCGATGGCCCAAGACAGGTTTTGCTCTTTTTGTGCGCAGTCCGCGAGTTTCCGTCAACTTTATATTCTCCTTGAACGGTTTGAAGCAGATTCTTTGCTTAGATCATGTAGAGCACTATTCGGGAAACTCCACTATTTGTGAGTCAGACTGGGTGAACAGTGAGCGTTTGGGATCATCATGAATTAACTGGGCTGCAGGCGATGTTGTACTAAAATTTGTGGATACGATCGTAAAGGTAGGATGGAGTAGTTTCTCGAACTTGCTTTCTGGACAAATTTTTCTCGATACAGGAACAGGTTTTTTGCGGACAGAGCTCCAAAAGTATTGAGTCTACGGAATGAACTCATTACTAGCTGATCGATCGCGGGTAGTGTTTCAGATATGAACGAAAGATGCGTCTTGTAGACATCACTTGACAGAACAGTCAAACAGAACAACTGGCCTGGATGAGAGTAAATGTTTTCGACAAATACATTGACTTCCAAATCAATTAATTTGGTTTTCACGGGAGGCTCAAGTGAATATCTCGTTTATGATGATTTTCTCCAACTAAATGTGCCGCCTCATGTTTCAGTTGCTACGATATGCGAGATACCGCGGTATATTTTCACTGCGTTGTCCATTTCAATTGTTTCCATCATTTTTATTGGGGTGGTGGAGACCCATACATACAATCCTAAGGCGTCGTCTGGCTACTCCATCATCAACGACAACCCTTAATGAGAACAAACAGCATGCGTTACGGTACAACTGGGATGGTGGCACGCGACAAGAATCTACCATCTGTAAAGTTGTGCTGTCATCCCAGGATAACTTGCTAAGATTCTACGTGCTCCCTCTCTAAACAAGCAGTAACTAAGGGTTGTAATTTCGATATGTTTACAATGGATCGATACACGCTGCCCACAGTTGTTATTGTTCCCTTCGTCTCGAATTCTCGACATTAGCCTCTTTTCGAACAGAAGTTACGCCAATAGGCCTTCGAATAACCAAAGCCTCAGCGGGACGAAAAACCCCATACACAGCTTTCATAGTATAATCCACTGATCTCAAACCTCTTATAGCACATCACGAGGTGAACAAAGTGCTCCTCTCTAATGGATTGGATACACTGCTTTTTAGAAGGTTTGAGAACATACTCCAGTGGAAAATGCAAGCAGAATCCGCTTCACAGCCTCAAGGTCGGACTTGAATTATATTCCCGACGACGTGCCCTCTATTAGACTTTTCATACCGGTGATAGAAAACAATAATCCTGAGCTCTATCGAAAAGAGTTTGTGTCTATTTTGCCTCTCTCGGATCGGCGACTGTGAAAATCAAGAAATGATTGTTCCTTAGCGAAATACACTCATTTACAAACTAATTCGGTTTTGCGAGGGACTCATCTGGAACCCAGCTGAATCTCTCGTTTGTGATGTTTCCAGTTTCAGGTTGAACATAAGGTTGACGCAAACTCGGGGACTGCGCCTACCTGATGTGCCCTGAGAAGGGCGAAACCGGTCGTGGGCTGTCGAATAATTTTCAGCAACCCTGTGAGTAGTTTTCTTTATGACCGACCGGTGGATTTTTCCTGGCACGTACTGTACAACCAAGTGTTTGGAAGGTCACCTACTTGATGACGAGTTTTTCAAACATTTGCAATACAGGTTCACACCCGAGAAGGTTTTATTGGTTTGCTCAGAAAGACGCTAGTTTGTAAAATAGTATGGTGTTAACGCGATACTCAAATGCAACGCTCGTTTCTCACACGTTTCAGCTGAATGCTGCACGAAGAGCACCCCATGTACTGTTCGGACTGATGAGTAAGATATTAAGGAATTTTTCCTGACGCAGCACTACTTAAAAGGTTGATGAAGTACTTGGAAATTTTGTCACTGGAATAAGGGTTCGTTCCCTAGATGCTTCTTCGTTCAGTCATGAGAACCATCGAGGTAAGGAGGTTGCACACACTAGCGTGTGCTAGTTCCGGTCTGGTTGAGCTTAATTATACTTGACAATCTTTCATTCTGTCATTCTGCTCGCACCCAAAACCTAATGTGTGGTGTACGAAAAAACTACCACTCGTGTAGAATTTACTGCTCCTTTCTCGATCTTTCATTTCTGATTTAATCGAGGTTGTCACAAGGATAGGAGGTGAGTTCTAATCTCTCTAGAGTCTCTCCAGATTCATAACGCTGACAATTCCAACAAAGACAAAGTGGTGCCTCTCGACTTTTCACCATAAACTTCAGTATTGACTTCTCTAGTTCATAGTTTGTCCACCACACGCCAAAGTTCACCCCAAGAGTTTGTAGAACATCCTCGAAGGTCGTGCCAAACCACAGAATCTCTTCAATTTATCAAGGCTTCCACTGTTTCGGATGAATTGAGTATCTCAAAGTGTGCAGCGTTTCTGCCGAAAGGCAACTAGTTCCAAGTAAAAACTTTAATATTTGCGCAATCTGATAAAAGCAATACTATACTAGGTTTTTCAGATACGATGAAATCTGTAGCCAATGAATATGACCAAATTTCCTCACATTACTATGAAACGATATTATAATCGACCATCGTGTGAAGCATCAGGATATACTTTGGGTGAAACAGTTTCTGTCACCTACACGTATGTCCTGTTTTCTCGAATTTTCCGTACACCAACCTTAAGGTGTGTTTCGGTGAAAACCTCAGATGTCCCATGAGACTATTTAATCAGTCACACCAAACTCAAAATTTGACAGGTCCCAGAATATCTAACCCGTTCGGATGTCGCGAGAAGAACGAAGGTAGTGACTTGGCTAATACATCACAGATTTATATGATACCAAATCATGGGTACATGCATTGGTGACAGAAAAGGAAATCTAACGAGAAGGGGGGTTGGATGAGCGGTACATGGGTCGGTGGATCACAAAGCGAACCAGTGGACCAGTTCAGTTCCAGAGGTCACACTATTTTCTTTCGAACGCAAAGTCGAGGGGTCCAGCAGACGCATTCCAATCGCCTCTGAGATCATAGTCTGGATCGTACCAGTCGTGATCGGTCCAAAGGTACACGGTATAGGATAGCGAAGGCTTGTTATTTGTCGATGACATGACTGGTTTCGGCCAACTGCACTTCAGCCCGGTTTCCTCCGTCTACCACTCAGACACACGGGGTTGTGTTCTCGCATTCTGTCCGACAAACACCCTGTCGTACGACCGGCGTATGATGCTCGGCACGAGCATACAAAATCCACTGATAGAATGTGCACCGGCCCACTAACAATCGTTGGGCCATACTAATAACTCTATGACAAATGATTGACGATCGATATATCACTAATACTTGGTAAATCAAAAATAATTTACTAAATTAAGAATGCACCGTCAAATGCATCGGAAAACACCCAACGCTATTTCCAGTTAATGAATCGATGTTGTTTTAGTGGACATCAGTTGATGAAAATGGGTATGTGAACCAAATGCTCCAAACTCCCTTTTTTCTCAAGAGGAGTGGAGACGTCTCAAAGTTTCCCAACGTAACACACAGCCTGATCCCGCTTCTCGAGTTTTTCTTACAAACACTACTTTGGAAAGTGGCAGATCCAAATTGAAAATTTCGCTTTGTCCTGCTTAGTAGGCGACCCTTTTTTGTTTTGTTTACAAATATGCGAGTAAATATGGCGAGATATGTGGGATATTGTAGGGTAGTGCGCTGCACAGGAACGCCACAAAGCTCGAAAACGTACGATGATTAAACAAAACGATGTTGTGCAGAATCTTACTTCCTGTACTGTTTCCCCTCGAGTTGATCATTTGGGACCACTGTTGTTCTCCGCGGATCGACGCGTGTACTTTAGTGCAGACAACACACACTGAACCCATTATCTCATCGCTTGAGTAGATTGCGTAATCCATTCGTTGATCTGTGTGAGGACCACACACATGAACTTCGTTCACCCGCATGGTAACATCCCAGATAATTGATGTTTCGTTGAACAATGCTCTAGTTGGAAACGGATGTTTGACTGCCTAAAACGGACGCGGACCGTGTTTGTCCCGCTGCGCAAATGCATGTATAAGGCGGCAAAATCCAAGCGGTCATATTCCCTGAGAAACAATTTGGTACATTTGATGTTCCACATGGCAACAGGAGATGGAAATATCGGAGAAATACAAATAGAGATGGCGGATGATGAGGGCGTCATTATGTGGAATTGCCGTTCCACTTTTAAATTTCATATATGTATGCGCTATTGGGCAAAAGAATGTACAACAGCAGCGTGACCGCTGAAACGCTGTTAGGTTTTTGAGCGCACAAACTAGCAGGTAGATGGAACTAAACCGCGTATTTTTTCCCCAGAAACTGGCACCAGGGCTTTCGAGTAGGCCTCGGAAGACTTTGCATGTTTCCCCATTGCTTTTTCCCATCAGGTCGCAATTGGTTGGTCACATTTCCTCCCCCCCCCAGTTGCCTGTCACTAACTAGGAGAGTACCCGTCACTTTCTGTTCTCATACGGTGGAGTCCTTCGACAGCAAACGGTCGTCTCTCGGTGCTGTCCTAGAACAACAGCGTTTGCCGACTTTAATTCTTGTCAAACACCAAATTTTTTGTGTGTAGTTCATTAGTTTATCAGACACGAATGATACGTTGATAATTGGTTCAGTGAGCACACCTTTTTTTCTTGAATTTTTCCAATTCCTCCATGCTCATCACTGCCTTTTTCAGGCAGAGTTGTAACGGTAATCAGTTTCCATCCGTGCAACCAGCGGCCTCTATTATGCGAAGAACAAATGGAAATCGTTGACTTCGATTAGTAAATTTTCAGTAGGCTTGGAGTCCTAGATTGCTCGGTGATTAGAGCGCGAATTCACTGACCGGAAGGTCCGTGGTTCGAACTCGACCTCTGCCTGTCTACTTTTCTGTCGAGGCTGGGGCAAGCTGGCAGTATCCCAGCGCTCTTGCTTCCTTTGGGCGACATGGCGGCTAGGCACCGAAAGGGTACTACAGCTGAGCGATTATTATCCTTTATTATTAGTAGACATCATCGTGTATCTGCAACTCGATGACCACCAATAGCACCTTGTGAATGGTCGTCAGTCTCCTCCTGAAAAACGCTGTACACCTGCAGTTCCATAAGAAAAGATAAATAGGATCATTTTATCCAAGCAGACACATACCAGAGACAGAAAATAGCTGTCCAAAAGCATTGATTCGTTTCGGTTACAACCGTAATAGAGACCACAGAACTCAGAACCTCGCGTATAGATTTACTGACATCAACGCGGAGTCCACTCAATCCAAAGCTCATCGCGTTTCTTGGTTGTAGATCAGGTGGCCGTTGATGTGTTCGTCGACTTTGGCAATTTATTTGCAAACGGATTGCCACCAACCGGGGAGTCAACGTCAGCGCGCAGTTGGGTGCGTTGCTGATCTCCCCAGGATTGGTGGCAGCCGGATTGCAACCGGATTACCATGCTCGGCATATCGATCAACAGCCGTCTGATTGAGGTGGCGAGATGACCAAGTGGTTAGAGCGCGAATTTACTGGCCCGAAGGTCCGTGGGTCGAACCCGACCTCTGCCTCTCGACTTCTCCTGTCTAGGCTTGGGCAACCTGGCAGTATCTCAGCCCTCGTGCAACCTTCGGGTAGCATGGCAGTTAAGCGCCGGAAGGGTGCTACAGCTGAACGATTTCTTCTGTCTGATCCACAACAAACTGATGCACCCTATCCACCAATAGTTCAATACACTGTTGTCTGGTTTCCATGCCTCCCTTATTTCCCCATCTTCGTGACATGGGATGCTCTGCCCTGGTTTCTTTTGCACCCGATAGATAAAACATGTGTTAAGACTCACTGTCATCAAGAATGCCCACAAATTGGCGGCTGTCTACCTCAAGGGGATCCAGAAAGTACACTGAAGTCTATCTGTTCGCAAAAACACGTCCAGCATATAGCATCTAGTCAGTCTCTGCATTTTCATCGCACTTTATCGTGGAAATGTCGGAAGTCAACAGTTGGGGAGCGATTCCAAACCAGTTATTTGGTACTCAGTCAAAGAATTCACATTCGCACATTTTCCCTAAAAAACATCCTGCTTCGCGAAAAAAACGCCAAATAGAGAAGAGACACTTGCGGCAAACTGCCCGGCGACGTTCAGATGACCAACCCTATTGACCTTCTACGTAGCAATCATTTGATTGGGTCAATACCTTACACTTATTAAGCGGATGCAGATTGGGAGAACTAGGCCAGTGAGGACTGACTACAGGCAGTTAGATAATGTGTCTCGCATACTCGTCAACGTGCAATTCTTTATTACATTCACGTCATCATCTTCATCTTTGCGATGTATTTCGAAAAACAATGCCTATTTTATTTCTGTAATGTCCACTTCTCTATATCAGTCTACCCTCACCGGTGCTCAACTCAGCGAGCCACGTATAGGCTGGTGGTATCAATTTCAAGTGGCCTCGGTCAACCGCTGGGGTTCGCTGGGTTTCGAAATCCCCTCGCCTCCCGTCCAGCTGACCAGCCAGAAGCCGCAAGCCCCTTCCGCTCCACGAGATCTAAGAGACGGTATGTTATCCCTGCAGGCAGACAAAGAAATTCGCGTACAAATCCACTGGTCCCCTCCAGCCGTGGCCAGCATCCCAGTGACTGAGTATCGGGTGAGCAGCAATTTGTGACACTTTTTTGTGTGCTTGGTCTACCTTGACTGCTTGTCGATAGCTTGTCCATCCAAGGATGGGAGTCAACCAGGGAGGATAACCCGCCCGCTTGCCTCGGTGTTAGATTGAAATCACTTCTCGGAACGAGAGAGCGAACATGAATTTTTCACATTCAATGTCATGCATCTGTTGGGCGTTCGTGTAAATACGGTCCTTAACATTGACTCATCAACATTCAAGTGGAGAGAAAATTGACAGCATGCGGATGATTCGCTCTTCAAGTGTCAGAGTTCCACCTTGTATCGCTACTGACAGAGGGTGTGGTTCTCTGGTGTTTGGTCAGTAATTGACTGCATTTTCGCTTCCGCATGCACCGGAAGATTTTCGAAAGTGATCAGACATTTTTGGCATGTGTGACATATGGTCCCCAAAATCACCAGGACCTGTAATAACAAGGCTTGTATAGGCGGGCCCGGATGACACCATGTCGACGTCAATAGTCCTCGGTATGTGACAATCGTGAGACAGCGCAATTTGTCGGAACATGAAACTTGTGTTGATTAGACAAATCCGGCTGTTTGTTGCTGTCAGAAGAGATTCTAATCCGCTTCCAGAGGAAACACCGGAAAACATTGTTCCATGTGGTGGTTAAAATGGACGGAGGGCAGGTAAGTTGGTCGGACAATCTAGCTAGTTGCCACTCCAATACAGCTGTGTATATCAGCAGGCACGGAGTTGCAGTTGGTTCCGCCTGCAACTAGAGGAAATCCCTAACTTAGCGAATATGCACTCATCTGCAAACTAATTTGGCTCTTTCGAGAGACTCATTTGTAATGTACTACTCATAAGGTTGCTGGGTTCCAGGTGAGTCTCTCGAAAGAACCAAATAAGTTTGCAAATGAGTGTGTATTCGCTAATTTCGTGCAATCTGGTTTCAAGTAGAACATAAGGTTGACGGAAACCCGGGGACTGCGCCTACATGATGAGCCCAAAGTGGAAGGGCGAAACCGGTCGTGGGCTGTCGATGGATTTTCAGCAACCTTATGAGTAGTACATTACAAAGAAATCCCTAACGGTTTCAAGCCTCCACATCAGCACTTCACCGCGGGCTTCACGGTTCTGAGGAGATATCACTCTCCCTGCAAGCTCAGAAACAACGCTTCAGTCAGTTAAGCACTATGTCGTGATGTATCAGAGAAGGCGTAACCCCAAAAGGGAGGTGGAACACCCATATTTGTAATGTACTACTCATAAGGTTGCTGAAAATCCATCGACAGCCCACGACCGGTTTCGCCCTTCCACTTTGGGCTCATCATGTAGGCGCAGTCCCCGGGTTTCCGTCAACCTTATGTTCTACTTGAAACCAGATTGCACGAAATTAGCGAATACACACTCATCTGCAAACTAATTTGGTTCTTTCGAGAGACTCACCTGGAACCCAGCTGAAACTCTCGTTTATGATGTTCTCAGGCAACTGAATGTGCTGCACCAAATTAGTTTGCAGATGAGGTGGAACACTCTTTTTTTGTGATTTGCCTTAGAGTCGGGACATATCCTGCCACCTTTTCCTCTAGCTTAGATGACTGTATCCCATAAACTACCGCTTCTGTAAACAATGACGTTATGGTGCACCAGTCGAAATGCTAGATTAGAAAATGATATGAACGACTATCCGTTGCCAGAGGGTCCACCTGTGGAGGCACATTGTAGGTAGTCTCTTCACTGGGTAACTCTTGCGGAGTGGACGCTTCTCTATCCAGAAGTCAAGCGTACTTGTCACCCTGCACGTCCTCTACAGATGTGGAGCTTGCTGAATTTTTCTTTGACAGAAATGCTAGTAGCTCGTTGTGTGTATGGATGGCCTGTGTTCAGTTCGCTGAGCGTGGTAATTTGCTTGCAAACAGTTTGTCAGCCAACCTCAAACTGTGCTTCCGGACGATAATTTGGTCACTACAAAACAGACAAGAACAAGAGATTCAAAACTGTTTCCAGTCAAATTAGGGAGACCATTCAGCTCTCATCCTTGAACCCTATCGTCAGCAAACTTGCATTTGCCGCAAGAAGACACACAGAGATTGGCCACCAATGAATGGACCACAGGAACAGTTGCATCCAAACTCTGTTCGCCGGAGTGAAGACGAACTGAGAACTGAGATAGAAGAAGGAAGACCATGTATGATCAAGGAAACTAACGGCTCGTCACACAGTTTGTCAGAAATATATATGATTTTAGGATTTGGGGTTTTGCGGGATAGGTAGGTTCACAGTAACACCACTCTCGTTTGAACGGCCGCGTTCCTATTCTGGCGCAATTATTCCGTGAGTCCACCCAAGGGAAAGCACTGGACTCGAGTTTCACTCTTATTAGAGCTCATCAGCAGTGCATATCCAATGGACTTGCCGGGATTCGAACCCCGGACATCTGACATACGAGGCGAGCGTGTAACCACTACTCCACCAACGCACGTTGGATGCATCTGAATTATCACGTCTGAACAGGCAAACGTGTTCATACTTGAGCGATGTGATTGGTGTGCCCGACTCATCGAACGACGACCCAGTAACTGTCCTGATTGTGACGATCGATTTTAGGATATAGAAAATATAATCAAAAGGAATCGTGGTAGCCTAGAAAGACCCTGCGACGTCGAAGAACTTAATTTCATGCCTGAAGGACGGGACCAGTGGAAGTGCAAGAAATAACCTGGAAGTGCACGGACCGGACAGATCGAATGAAAACTATCTACTCGGCTTGGACGAAATCATCCAGCTATCGTGATGCACGATCCACCAACCCTGGTTTCGATCCACTAATATCAAGAGGGGTAGAAATTTAGTCCTGGAAACGTGAAACTCTTGGCGCAGGGCGAGCAAAGGAGATCATGGAGGCATGGCACTCGTTCACGAGCTCACTTAACAGACATAGAGAAATCTAAGTGATCCACGCACCACTACGACAAAATGATGGACAATTTACTGGAATAGCTCAAAGATAATGAACAGATCAGCAAGCAACATGGGCCGATGGGACAAGAATCATCTGGTCGCTAAGGTCAAGGTCGAAGATCATCGCCCAACCAACTGGATCCATCATCCTACCGACCAGTCATAAACTGACATCCGTCGGCTAACAAGACAGCACTGTGGAGCGTCTTCACAAGAACGCGCCGCTGAAGAACGGCATCCACCGGAAAGCACGTCTCGGCTTGACCTTGTTACTCCGCGAAAATTACTTTCCTTCATGCGAGCAGAATGAAATGGCAACCGGACATCGCACACCGCCCTTCGAACTGCCTTTGTCGAGAAAGAGGACTGAGTTTCTGTTAGACGTTCGGCTTCTTTAAAAGTTAGAAGGGGACGCAGAACCATTCTTCTAAGGTAGGATTTATGAGGTGCATGAATGGCCCGATAGACGGGAGATTCAACACAGATGCATCAGTAAAACGATATTTTTTGCGACGGACCACTCTGTGCTGATTTCCTGGCTTGCGTATGAAAGAGGACAAGATGGTCCTCAGTGCAACCTGTCCTTTAAAAGAACCGCTTCCAAAGACGAAATGTGTCCACGCGGATCATTGCCCGCTTTCAGATGTGTTTACTTTTTCATATACTGTAATGAAAAAGCAGTGTAAAGTACCGAAGTTGTACCATCCAAATGCTTCAGGGGAATCACACATCCAGTCTGTCGATATTGAATACTAAGGGAAATGCATTCACATGTGACTGTACTAAATTTCTAATATATGTTGAATCCCCCCTTGGATGAGTATTAAGTGGGGCTAGAAGCAGGTATTTGATATGCCTTGTGAACACCTGTTTTTCCCCGTTTCCACGGTGATGCAATGAAGTATATATACTCAGCGAAGTTCACACGCGGTCTATCATGCCTCACAAATGATCACCCAGTACATCCCAAGGGTTCCGTGAAATCGTCATCCATATAGTGTTGCTGAATGGTCTTTCTAAACAAACCAGGAACGGAATGATTGATAGACCATCTATCTGTCTTTTGGTACAAGTCTCTTCCAATAGTCGACTGATGAGTAGGAATATGAATACAAACACAAGTATGTGAAATTTACTGGCAACAGCACACGGTCACTTGCAGCATAGGCTGTTCAAACAAGACTTGGGGCGAGGGGGGCGAAGAATTGTTGATTCCGAGATGGCATTTTTCCCGTTTTGGGCGAGATCACTTCCTTAGCTTGTCTTACGATTAGAGATGGAAATTTTACCCAGTGCGGTTGTAACTTTTTCTGGAATTTATGGTGGCCCCAGACGCGTTTTTCGCACCAACTGTGGTTTGAGTGTGCCGGATGAATGTCCGCCATCATTTGTAAGTGACTAGTCAAACATTTTTAGCGTGTTGAGCTTCAGTTGACATTTTTTTTTACCTAAATTCTAATCACTGTCAGATCTACTGGGGTCCGGACTCGCCACACACGCCGGAAGAACCAGATTTTTCGGAGAAACCGACACAGTTTGTCCAAACCGTACCAGCAGTAAGCTAACTGTTTCATTTCCCTACGTTATTGTCCATTGAGCTACACACGTGATTCACAGCTGTTCATTCGACAACTGATGATGTTTTGTTATGCAACAGCGACTTTTAGTAAGAGGCTAAGAATGACTGCACACCCGAACAGTTTACTATCACGGGGATTGCCCCGAAAGATCGGTGTCCTTTTATGAACTACACGTTGTGGTGAACACCGCTCATTTCCTTGGTCGAAGATTGCAAAATTTCACTACCGACTGTAATTTTGTTGCCGAAATTCGATTGTGTACTTCTGTCTATCCAACACACTCATTCTGTATTCAGGTTCTACATCAGATCACTAATTGGCTAGCTGTGACGACAATGAATGCGCGTCATCAATTATGAGGAAGTAGAGTTTGTTTGTTTTGCAAAGTGCAATCTATTTGGTGGTTTTCAGGTCTTCTTTTCCGACAGCAAACTCTCTCCAGCGACTGGAAAACCAATAGAAGAACAGTTGGTTCACCGATCAGCACAACCATTTGTTTTGGGGATGTTCGACTTGCAGTTTTAGGCGAGAAACTTTTAAAAGTATGAACGAAATTCTTCGCCTTACTAGTTACCGTGAGCGAACGTTCAAACGACAGGAGATACACGGCTGTACAAGTGCTCAACAAAGGACATATAAAATGAGAAGAGAATGGGTATTTTTCTGTTTGACTCGTCCTGTTTCTTTCATAGTTTTTAACACAACACCCCGACTTCAGTAGGCCGCTCCTGACAGAAACCTCATGGCTTTATAAATTAGGTACAAGTAAAACTAAACTGTGAATATGACACACTCATGTAATAAATTCAAAACAAAACAGCACTTTGTATTCGCTTGATCTGCCCGCCGCTGCCTGTTACATGTGTACCACCGGTTTTCTTCAGTTTTCTACCCCCTAGTTGGTTAAAGGTGATAACGGTGACAGTTGTGCGGCAATACGAGTGAAAACTACTTTGATGTGTCCAAATCACACACACACACACTGATCCATTGCCAATGAGCGAATTGACACGATGAACAAGAGAGGACCGCCTCGTCTTCAACTGCCTAACAGCGGAAGACGAAGTCACTTTTCAAATGAAAAAAGTACAATCAAGCGTCCAGTGAATTCCGGCTCGGTGTGAAGTCAATATTAGGGTATATGTTTTCGAGTTGCCATTTCAACTGTGATTATTGAGCGCTTAATCGTCATGCCAGGGTATTTATCGGGCCGAACGGGCATATGGGACCATTCATTCCAGGGTGAGTACTTTGGGGGAACTTTTCCCGATGAACGAGCTGGTCCTACTGCACAGATTTCGCTGTTTGTCTATCGGAGGATCGTGCAACCAATCACCTATCTTATTGTCCAACCATGTGACGGGGAGCAAGTGACCAAACAGGCTATTCTCCAACGTGGCAACCGACCATAAACTCTTGTTATAGACACTCGGCGGCATGAAAAAAACATTGATTAATGACAGAATTAGGCACCCAATGACGTTCCAGCATCAAAGTTATTTTCTCGTATCATCTTAGCCATTCAGAGTTAGTGAACTGCTTTTTTCAATGCCCCTATACTACAGGAAACTGTCTTTCTGTTCCTCCCTAAAACTAAGTTTCATGCAGCGGCAACGACGGATTAGAACTCTGCGCACGATGTAGATGAAGAAACTAAAAGATGGATGACAATCGGTTTCGACGTGTAAAAAGTTTAAACAATGCTCTGGTTGAATGTTAAGTGCCGGAAGGCCCGCCGTACAAGAAGGCCTCACAAACACCGTTTTCTCGACCATCGTAGGATGCACGTTTGTACACTCAGTTATCGTCACATTCTTAGTGATGGATGGCCCTGGAAAAGCGTTTTTCTCATCAAGAAACGTTAACGTGATCCTTTGTAGTCTGTCCACTGTTCTTGTCGCTAAAAAAAGACCACCTGATACAAGAAGCTATTCATCATATGACATGCGTTCATCATACTAATGTATGGATGGGACATGAAAGCCACCCAGTAGTCAAGCCGAGCATTGTTTTGGGAAAAAATCGATTGACTTCATTGTTCAAGACCGCTTTTATCTATCCCGAGCGACCTGAATGTAGTCTCAGGAAGATGGTGCCCACTGCTTTAGAAGTATCCGTTTTTTCGTGTACTTTTTCTCCCACGCGTACCCATTTCAAAATGTCGTTCGTTGTCTCTCCATAACCTCCCCCAATTTGACTGTGTACTACTACGCGTACTTTTCAGTCGGAAACATCCTATGTGCTCACAAATCTGGCTCCGAATGCATTGTATCGTGTCCAGGTAAGCAATTAATTGTTTGTTTCAACATTATTTTTATACTAAATACACACCTGTTGATGGAGACCCAATTGTGTTCATTCTTACATTGCGTTTGTGGATCGAATGTTTACCAGATTGTCACGTGGGCTTATGGCGAGCCTTTGTTGTGCTGAACTGGATGTCAATGTTCTTATAAAGTGTCTCTCAATACGAAGTTAGGGCTTGTGAATACACCTTCTAAGTGGCTTTGGTAGTGACAAAAAGCCTAGATCCAGTTGACTCCAGTTGACAAACGTCGTATTTCGACGAACTTCAGAGGGCAGGTAATATGATAGCCATATATAGAAATGGCCTGACGAAGAAGGCTTTACTTCAGCTGTTTTCTGATAGGAGTGTATTTGGTGAAGATGACCCTTAGCCCTGCCTGCTGGACAGGACCATAGCTGCTGACCATAGAGTCAATTATTCGTTCTTTGTTCTCTGAAGCGCTATTTCTAGGCGTTTCATCCTTCGAGAGGGAATCAACCATTTCTGGTTCGTTCTGGGTGAAAGGAAGAAGCCCCCGCTGAGGAGTTGTTTAGTAGAAAACACCAACTGGACAGTTACAGACCATTGGACAGGAAAGCAAAACTCTCATGTTCACCTAATTTGCAGGAACTGAATATCCGTCTTCTTCTCAAATGTGTCTTCTTGAACTTTCCTGGATATTCATTGACTATCGGGCAAATGTAAACGAATGCTACAACGCAATTCCACCAATTCCGGAGTTACGAGAAACCACACACTACTCACATGTCTCATCAGTAGTATCCACCGTTACAATGGTCGTGACTGTAGTGAGGCAACAATTGAGAGTAAAAGTACACTCAGTTATGCCTAGCAAGGTCCCGAGAATCAGCGACGCAGCTGGTCAATAGATCCACTGTGGAATGCAGTGAACAAAAGTCAGCGACTATCGATTTATCCTTACTTCGAACATACTGGAAAATGTTGTTGTCATGAGGCTTTGTAAAGCATAGACACGTTGGAGAGACAGATAATTGTCGGGTCCGTCAGTTTCTCTCTCCATCTTGATAACATTTCTACGGAAAGCTACTTCTGACGGACCAGCATTTTGACTTACAAAACGCTATTCGAAACTCTCGAACTTATCGGCCACTCGAATAATTTGAACAATGAAGTTTGGAATGCGGAATTCCAATTCAATCACCCTGGCAACAAATGTTCACAAGTCTGAAGGTAAACTCAGTTTACTGCAAATACTATGGCCGAATGGGCAAAATGCTGTCAGAATCACCCTGAAAAGCATGCAACCCACTTGTTGAGTAATGACATATCGATCGGCTTCGGTTGCCCGTATGCGATGATCGCCTGGACTTTGCATCTTAGACTTGGTTGATAAACACCCATTTGACAAACGCGAATCAAGCATTCTGCCGGAGTTGAGTATCAACGTGTTGAAATGGTTGGGAAATATGAGGATTAGTCAAAACTTTCTGATAAAATGATGAAGAGCCACCGATCTGTTGTCTCAAAGCAACTAACGACTGTCTCAAAGCTATATGGATAAGTACGGATGGGTGATACTGTATGACACGCGGCAATTGCTACATTACCCACCGCATCTAAAGTGTACGCAGACGAGAGTTGTAGTCAGGCTCAGCGACGAATGACGAGGGACTTTGGATGGACCCGATGGGTCATCATATTACACAGGGAGAATCCAATCGTGTACATGTGATATCCTACGGTGTGAATTTTTCACTTGGCGATACTGAATGAAAAGCAGATAGTCAGTCAATACAACACGACATTGAATGAAATCCTGTTTTTGTCGTATGTCCGACTGAATGCGACTAAAATAGTCGATCTTTCAGAGTGACGATTCAGCCGTATGCACAAATTTTACCACCATGCTCGTTATTAGGAGAACCAGCTCCGAACATAACGGGACCAAAACAGCCAATGGAATGATCGTTTTCGTTGAGACAGGTTTCATTGGCTGTTCTTCACTCGTCCTTGACAGATGAGTTGTATTCTTAGTATCACTTTTTTGACCCGCTTATACACGACAGTGATCAATAGATCAGCCGGTTCGCACGTTCACCGACTTTTTCTGGTTTGGTCAAGCGCACCAGGTTATCCATCAGCTATCCAGACCGGGGTTCACGATAATAAGAAGGCATTAAGGAGACTGTGGTCCACAAGCCGCTCCACTAAAGTTTAGGCATGACTTTGTAACACAGACTGGTCCGCTCACAGTCCAAGGTTTACGAACCAGGTCGCGGACTGCGTGAACTGCCGTCTACCCTTCTTCAGGAATAGGTGGGAAGTGAAGTTGGGATTTGGTGACGTCTTCGAGACATTATCCAAGTTTGAACCCCTGAGATTCAGTTGCTAACGCCTGAAATTTTGTATGTTTCAAGTTTGAGGTAATCGAAGAAATTCAGGAGAAGGGAGTGCACTGTAATATGTGTTTAGGTCCGCACATGCATCGATCGTGTCTGCTTAGGGGCGGCTGACAGCACCGTACATTCTCACACACCGGACAAACCGCTCTAACCATTCTGTTCGGTCACATTAGGGAAACCAACTGTACATGATTGCATCCTTTGTTCACTATTCCTTTCCAAGGTACTCGCTATGAGTGAATGGGGCACTGTACAACTCCGATCCCGTCCCAGTATCATCTTCGTCCGCACCCCCAGTGTGGACCACTTGGGTGTGGAACAAAGACCGCTGGATATGCAAATATTCTCAACTCAAGACATCACGGTGGACACAGACGAGGCCGGTTATCCACAACCCGAAGGGAGTCGGCGACTTGGTGGAAGTTTCTCAGCACGTGTTCACTCGGCGATGGATCTGTCTGGTGAGGTTCAAATCATGATGAGATGCTTTTATCGTTGTTTGGGTCACGTAAACAAAACATGCATAATTGTGAGGGCTAATGAAACAACAACACGTTTGAACTGGAAGTACTCTGTCATCCTGTCTGTCGTAGTGAAGCACGAAACCAATCGCAAAACACCCGTGTTTTGTCCAGTTTGTCCCGATTGACCGTTACCGTGGGAGGTTAGTTAATGGACTCTGTAAACCAAACTAATTGCTTAGCCATCGATTCTCGGAGAGGACATGACAAATACCAGCATGCAATTCAAGAATCTAAGTGGACGTTGAAGAGGGAATTTGTTTTTTGTTTCTAAATTGTTTGAGCCCTATAGATGTGACTGAACCAATCACACTGTGCTTTGCATGGACCAACTGATGCCCACTCTGCAAGCGTCACGGGGACACCCTTAATCTGAACGCTTATTGGATCGTTCGAAACAAGAGCATTCAGGCTAGCTATCTTTGTCATTCTGACCGTTGAGGGAGATAGAAGTTGGAGGGACACACGATGAAGAGGGATCCACACAAGACAGAACTGTTTCCTAGGGTTTTTCAGAAATGAACCGCAATAGGGGAGAGCACTTCGCTAGACTAACTCAGCAAATCGCACAAATTTGCCTGACGTTACCAGGTTAGGGCACTGACTGAATGGCTAGAAGAACAATATCGGGTTTCGCGTTTTGGTTCTCATGGTCCGGACCACTGAATCACAGGGGCTTGTGCCAAACTTTCCCGATCGATAATATATGGCACCTGGGAAATTAGGCTGCTGAGTTACCTTTTGGAAGTGGGCTGTAAAATTTCTGCCGTAAATTTCGATTTTAGCGTTGGCTGAGTTGCCTTTCCCGGTTTAAAGATCGTAGTTCCAAGCTTGTCATCTCTAGGTGAGATTTATTCACTCATCAACAGGTTCAGCAAATTAACGGATGAAAAACAGTGAAGAATAGCACTTTTATTGTCTTGCGACAACCGAGTGCTTAAAACTGTGGAGAGATGGGGTGTTCGTCGAATACAATTCAACTATGGACAAGTTTGTACAAATCCACAGTTTTGAGAGAAAACCCGAACACCATGGTACCATATTAAAGATTTTAAACATTCTGGTTGGCTCAAAATATCAAGACCTCTTTGACTGGCCTTCAACAAAAGCAGCTAACCTGTCAACAGCAGTGGAAGATATGTTCAAGCTCTAGACCTCCAGTATGCCCGCGTAAGTCTATGAAAGCACCACCCGTGATGGGTAGTTGCAGAAATCTATACATTCCTGCAATTAAAGCAGGACTGATTGGGGGCACAGAACGGAAGGAACAACTCGTCAGGCTAATTTAGAATCTAATATAGAGGAGAACAGGACATGGTAAATGGAGCCTGCAATCACGTGCGGTATGAAAAGGGATTCCACGGATAGGTATGGATCGCTGGACTTCTACTAACTGGTCGGCTGTCCTACCGAAATCCCTAACGGGGTCACTTGTTCCCAGTCCAGCTCATGAACTTCGGAGGTAATTCGCCACTCCCTGGTCTTACGGGATGATGTATGTGAGCGATTACAAAGGTTTTCGGACCCTGTTTCAATTCATATAATTCCTTTATGTATTTAGACAATGTTAACATTACTCACTTATTAGTAGCGTGGATACAGGTAAGATTAGTCCCTCTGGTGGAGCGGGGGCATGGTGATACACTTGTATCATTCGAATGTATAGGTATGAAATGAACCGATCCTTGTCGCTAGCTGATCTCCAACTCATCAGTTGCCATCGGCTCTCTAGTTCGTAACGAGGCAACGAGAAAATGAATGTTCGTTTGTGCAACGGGGACTTCCATAGATCCTTGTCGCTGATCTCCAACTCATCAGTTGCCATCGGCTCTCTAGTTCGTAACGAGGCAACGAGAAAATGAATGTTCGTTTGTGCAACCAACGCTTCCATAGAAGAATGTGTCCAGCACCAGAAGATGCGTTGGTTGGGACATATATTGAGGATGTCGAACCATCGTTTGTTAAGGAGTATGCTGTTTTCCGTGCCCAATTCAGAGTGGCGGAAGCAGAGAGATTACCAACTCTTGAGCTGGTAGAAATTAGGAAACGTTTGGGCACTGTCTGTGCTATTCGCCTTCCAGAGTGGTGACCTCGTGATCCACGCTCCGTTTGGCTGAAGACGCTGCAAGATATGGTTGCTAATCGATGTCAGTAGCGTTCTCGTTGTCACT